AAATTTGGGCTACCGATATCACATGCTGAAAATTCCATACCTGTACCAAAAATACGGTGTGGAATCAAGCTGTAATAAAAAAAAGACATAAGCGAAACCTCGATTATAGTAACAGCAAGTAAATATGATCATATAATCAAGTGTATAGAATTAATTGTTTCCTGTAAATTAAGTTACTGACTATGTAATGATGAACTTTTGTTCTGTTTGACATCGCTGTTATATATATATATATATATATATATATACGTCGGTGGCACAGCTGTAGAATGTTCGCCGACCATGCATGTGGTACGGGGTCCAACCCCTGGCCGGCGCAATCCTCGTTAAGCCAGCACTAAGACTGGTTAGGAGGGAAGGTTGGGCATGAGGCTAGCAACTCCATCCTGTAAAAATAAACACCACTGTTACCTAAACTTCAGTCCTCTAGTTTGAAGCCTTATTTTCCGCTGGGAACGCAAAGGAATATAAAAAAAATATATGTACTTCATATATTTAATCAAGTATTCATGATTTATTACCAAAGACTCTGTCATTTAAAATTACAATCTGAAAATTCAGAGATACATAGTCAAAAGACACTGAACAATTGTCGAATGTAATAAACCTTGAAAGATTCTGATGGATAAAATAATGCTCTTATGAGGATAAAGAATTTCACTGTCATATGAACAATAGTGACATAGAGAAGACAGGAAGATTATATGGTACATCCCTTTTTGGAAGCAGTACCACCTTTATTCGGTGGATATTAGAGCACTTCAATAAACACGCCAAAATATACCAGCATGATTTCATGAGAATTCAATAATAAACGTTAAACTTTTGAAATTAATGCCTCCTTTAATCCATCAACTTCTGCAGATATCAGTATCAAGCAACACTTTTTGATAAAAGTACAACAGATGTAATGCAGCTCAGGAATGTACTGCCACTGATATTATGCACGCCAGAAAACAATTTTCAAAGCAAAATTTCATTTAGAAAGCATTGAAAAACCACCATAGCAACGGACTACGACGCTACAGCCAGCAGAGATATGCAATAAAGCCACTCGATATACCTGCTAAACTGACAGCTCTTGTCTCAATCATTTTCAAGATCATAGATTAATATTTTTTTAAAGAACGTATATTTCATCAGGAACGGAAATCAATTAAAGAATCATTAAAAACTAGGAAGCACCAGAACCTAGTGTCAATTTCTTCACCAGTACATACCTACGAATCTGTCAGGAGTGGCTTTATTGCATAACTCTGCTAGCTGTAGCGTCTTATTATTATTATTTCCTTTAGTTCCTAGAGGAACATAGGGCTTCAGCCATGCGTCTCCATTGCGTTCGGTTCTCTGCTAGAGTTTTCACCTGGCTCCAAGTCTGCCCATACACTTTCAATTCTTCTTCACATGATCTCCTCCAGGTCACCCTTGGACGACCAACTCGTCGCTTCCCTTTCGGGTTCCACTCGAGGGCTTGTCTAGTGATGTCACTTGATGGTTTCCTCAGAGTATGGCTGTAGCGTCTTAGTCCATTTCTACGGTAGTTCAATGAAAAGTTATACTTTTTCTGTGCTTTTTAAATGAAATTTTGTATTAGAAATACTTTTCTGGAGTACATATCATCTGTGGCAGTATATTCTTGAACTGCTTTACATCTATTGCACTTTTATCGAAAGGCGTTGCTTGATACTGATATCTGCACATTGTAATGAAATAAAGGAGGCATTCAGTTTAAAAGTTCAACGTATATTATCGAATCTTCATAAGGTCGTACTGGTATATTTTGGCGTATTTATTGAAACCTCCTAATACCCACCGGATAAAGATGGAATATGCTATATAATCGCCTAACTTTGTACATTAAGTTATTTAACGACAACTGAATCTTCTATGATTACCAGGTTTTACTAATTACCGGAAAATATATTCTGGATGACGTTGAATCGTGACAAATGTAATCAAATCTGGAAAAAAACGAAACTCCAGTAGTTTATTATGTCGAATACAGTACATGCTTATGCAGATTACAATAATGGTGGGAATCAAGTCATTAAGGAATACAAAGATCAGAGGAAGTAATTGTTGAAATGTGACATTAGATATTAACAAGTTATTATGAAATGGCATTGAAATTGATTTCAGCTTATGGGCAAAAATAAGGATTTCATTACTAACAAATAGTAAATGAAACAGTTTTGATTGGACACTAACTAGTGTCGTGTGTCTAGTTACTTTTTAACAGCAGACATAATTCTATCAGTCAAGTTTGCAATAGGCCACCGTGCTAGGTGGTTCGCCATCACCGTACACTCGGGATTGTTATTATTCGGTGTTTGGAGGCAGTCGGGCACAGGAAGCCTTGGGCCTAGGTTTCGTGCTTGTTGGCACTCACCAGTCAGCAAGGCGTATCTGCAATCTTGAATGAACTCATATTTCTTCTGAGATTCGAACCTGTGTTACCCAGTGCTGCAGTCCGAGACGTTACCATCAAGCTATCCGGGCTAGCGATTGACCTTCTGTAGGCATGTATTAGATACTTTTGATTGGACACTAGATACAAGGCTTTCCCTGTCGATTGCCTTCAACCGTCTAATAAATGCAACAGTTGTTAATTTAGTTTATAAAATACAGAAGAGAGAGAGTTGAAATTAAACGTAAATGCAACAATGATTAAAAAGAAAAGCAGTGATGATAATGAAATTAATTTAGATGTCATTGACAGTGGTTATTAGGTCAAAGAAGACTTAGATTCCCTAACAAAAGTTTGTTGAGTTGAAATCATTGCGTAAAATATCTTTTCGACACTGTATTAAAAAAATAAAGAAATAAGTCATTGACCATGATTTACAAATTATTTATATCATTCATTCCTTGCGTTCCAAGTGGAACTCTTTAAGCTTCACAGGCGCATCTGCATTGCACTCGGTTCCTGACTATTACTTTCAACCAGTTCCACGATTGTTCACAAGCTTTCATTTCGTCCTCAGATGACCTCCTCCGTATTATACTTGGACAGCCAGCTCCCACTAGCCGCTTTACTGTGTGATGTCAGTTGAATGTCCAATCCATCTCCAGTTCTTTCTGAAAATTTTTTTGTCTAATGGGTTGCTGGCAGGTTCTCTGTTTGCCAAAGTCCCTTGTTTCTTATCTTTTCTGACTGGCTGGTCTGATTTTCAGTATCGAGAGAAGAGGATGGCTGTGGATGAAAGTATACAAACTGTTGGAAATGCGTTTCGCTATGCACCAAGTTTCTGAACCATATAATACTTTTGACTTGAAATTAATGTTGGAAATTTGGATGTTTTCATTCGTGGTGAATGTTGTAGATCTCTTCATCGACTTCAGAGTAATGAACGTCTGTTTTCCTTTTTCAATACCTCGTCCGTGCCACCATCTGTAGTTGAAACAATGCTCCCCAGTTAAGTGAATAGGATGAGTCCCTTTTAGATCTCCCCCATTGATGGTGACTGGTGCTTGTTGGTGGTGATCAAGTGCTTTCATCAGGTCTGTCTTCTTTATGTTCACTTGAAGTCATGTCTTCACTGTTTGCCTCTTCTGCCAACTTGGTCGTTTTCGCCTGTATATCTGCATTTTTGTGCGACACGAGACATAAATCATTTGCAAAATACAGATCTTCCAGTAAACGTGCCTCCGTCCAACATATGACTGTCTTCTCGCTTCCTACACTTTTTCAAAGTGGATAAAGTTGACGTTCAGAGATGACTGACTGACAAATATCTTATCTTTTTATCTTGTCAATTCCATCAACATTTCACTTTCTCCTGGAGTTTACGAATAAAGCACGTGAACAGAAAGTGGAACTGTCAGTCTGAAAACTGTCAGCTTTTCACTTTATCTCAGAATTATTTGAGAGTTTATGTTTTATGAAGTTGATTTAATATATAGGATGAAGACCAATGAGGTAACGTATTGTTCAAACATGAATTAATGCATTGTAACTATAGTTACAATATATTGGTTTGGTTGAACATTTTCTCATACCGTAATACTGATGTTTTGAAAATCATTCAAGGTCGAGCATGATATTAAAACACAGATATTTTCAAGAATAACTAACTTTTAGCAATTAGATTCACAAGATTTTGTTTTCTGAATCTTAGTTCCAATGATGACTTGATCCTAATAGTTAATAAATTATATGTAACGCTCCTGTTATTCACACACTTCGTTTTTTAAGCTAAACACCTTCTTCCAATGGAACATCATCACTCATTGGGGAATGCAGGTACATCTACTAGCTGACGAGTCCCAGATAGGACGAAATGAGTGTTATCCTTGATTCCACTGCTAGTTACCATCCACCAAATAACTTCTAATTACATACCCAAACATCGTCGAAGCATATGCACAAGAAGCCGACATGTCAACCTGAGACCGAGCACTACGGTCCAATCAATCGACAGGAAAATCTAAAACTGAATTACCATCATTAAGACCCGTTGTACAAGAGGTGGCTCTCGTGGCCCAAGTGGTCTAATCGATAACGCTTTGGTGTTTGAAACTATGGGCACTGGGTTCGAGCCTCGGTGGGAACATCATCAATCACTGGGGAATGCAGGTACATCCACTAGCTAACGAGTCCCAAATAGGACGAAACGAGTGTTGTCTTTGATTCCACTGATAGTCACCATCCACCAATTTAAATTCTAGCTTGAAATACTGTTTACAATATAAATTATACTTATTTGCTTACCATGTCTTACCTTGACACACCACAATCTATGTTGTCAATAGATCTATGTGTATGTGTGTGTTTGTGTTTCACAGCTACACCCGAAGTTACTGTTTATGTAACTCTATACTAGGAAATATAAACTATCTTCCTATAGACTTCACAATAACTTCACTGATTTATCCATCCCAGTTAACAACCCAAGGAAAGAATGTACACAGGGAACAGTATACAATATGTATAGAGGATAAATTTGTTTTATTTTGAATTAAATCATACATATATATTTATTCACTATCCAGATTTAGTCTTATGAGTATTCATTAACTATCATAAGTATACTGTCACGATCTTTTGCACGCTGATCTTTCTTATCATTCTTGTTATCTTTTGATTTTGATTTGCCTTTCTTCTTATCATTGGTATTTGACTTTTTATTAGGAGACTTTTGATCATAAGTGGGTTTTTTCATCATTTGGTGTAATCCTTCTTCTTTTTCTAATTTCTTTAATTTTTTCCTTAGCTCAACATGGCTTCCTCTGCCATTTTTAATTTCATCATAAATGAGTGCATATTTTGGTTTGCCGTAAGCAGGCAAAGGTTTTTCGTAAATATCCCTAGATGCCCGGTGACCAATTCTCTCATAATCTGTTACATATTTGTCTTTATCTGTTGATAATTTATGATTATCGGATTGGTGTTTGTTTGACTTTACATTTTTATCTCTAGGAGAGGATTTCTCATTACTGTAGCTAATTTGTGATATTTTGGGGGTAAGAAGATGTGCTTTATGAGTATCTTCACGTTGATGAGAATCATATCCCTTACTCCTGTATTCTTTTGCATATTTACTATCAAATTTTGCTTTATTATACTCTATCTCTTCATCACTATACCTTTTGTATTGCAAATCCTTCGGTTTATGTCGTGTAACACCGTAAGTACGTTTTTCATCTTGAGTGTTAATCAACTTTGCTCTATCATACTTTATTCCTTCTTCATTACGTTTATCATATTCCGAGTCCTTCGATTGATATCTTTCAACATCGTAGATATCTTTTCTATCAAGAGTGTCATCAGACTTGGCTCTATCATAGTTTATCCCTTCGTCGTTACGTTTATCATATTCCAAATCCTTCGACTGATATCTTTCAACATCGTAGGTATCTTTTCTATCAAGAGTGTTACCATACTTGGCTCTATCATACTTTATTCCTTCGTCATTACGTTTATCATATTCCGAGTCCTTCGGCTGATATCTTTCAACATCGTAGGTATCTCTTCCAGCAACAGTACTATCACCAAATTTCGCTTCAACATACTTTAATTTCCCATTATTATACTTATCGTGTTGTGAATTCTTGAGTTTATGTCTAGCAACATTGTAGGAAATTTTGTTATTAACATCATCATACCTTTTATTGATATGTTTTTGTGTTGGATAATTGTATGCACTTCTTTCATGCCTATAATTTAATCTCTTTACAATACCCAAGTAAGGATGATTTAATTGATTCTTTCTTTTCTGATCATGATAAATAATAGGCGTCCAACGGTACTTTTGATGATTATATCCATGATGATATTTATTATAATAATTGACTGGAGTAATATTACTCTTCTCCACTGATTCCTTCCCCTTTGCCTTCTTGTTGTTGTTGTAATAGTCCAATGAGGTTTTCTGATGCTGAGAACTCGGGACATATTGCTTTTTATAAGGTGCATTGTTCTTATACGTGAATGATGGTGATGATGGCGGTTGCGCTGCTGAAGACAATGACGATTGTACTAATAATTTTTGTTTATCATGTGTTTTTGATTTCGGAGCATAATAATAATTATTATTATTACTATAATAATGTGGATAAACATGTTTCTTATTATCATAATTTAAAGGTTTATAATATGTAAGGATACTGAAAGTAGAAAATCCCCAAAGGGGATAAGCCGCATCAGCAAATCCACCGAGATCAACTGGTATCAATAGCTTGTTATATAACAGAATTGGTAAACATTTTGTACATGAAAGGGAAATAGACGAAATAATCAACAATTTGACATAGAAATAACAAGTCAACATTTCTCTTATTTTTCCTGTTTACAAATAAAAAAAGAACTAATAAATGGTATATATATGTCAAATATTAAATGCTACGCTTTAATTGTTATTAACCATATGCATAAATGCACTCTCAGCGAATATATATATATATATATGTCGACTGACATCTCTCATCATAACACTGCACTCTTGAGTTTACTTGGTAGAAACATATCGCTTTCATTAGATAAATACAATGACTATGTGTATGAGTGTGTGTACATTCCTAATACTAGGAGAAGGGCTTACATAACACATACTAGGTTAAGTATTTGCATAGAATATTTGCTTGTTCCTCTAAGACTAATTCCTATCAGTGATGTATACTCACAGAATAGAGTATCAGTTGCGACTTAACAAACCTAATGGCGAACTGACTGAATTGACAGCTGGATTATAGGGATTTTGAAATTAAAAAGGCAGAAGCAGGTGAATTTCTTCAGTCATAGAGATATGTCGTACTCGTTAGTGAGTGTCTGGGTGAAAAATTGATATAAGGCTAAAACTTGGGCACTGTGGTAGAGTATAACTCCATTATGGATAACATTTTATTTTGATAAAATCACACAGTGCTCTACAGTAAGTAATATTTACTGATGACAACGTTTCAAGCACAAATTATTGCTCACAATCAGACCAAGGTACTCACATAACTTTCTTTCCTCGTTTATAAACATGAGTAAAAATTGATCGGGCATTTGGATAAAATCAATATAAGACTTGCATCGAACAGAATGGAAGGTAAAGTAGATTCAGAATTAACGGTCTCTCTGTATAGGCTAAAGGACCCGGTGGACCCAATTAAACAAAATAATATAATTTACAAATACCTTGCAATGACTGTGAATGATGTCAACTACATAGGTCAAACTAAGTAGATCAGGAGTAGTGAGGTTGCCTGTCAGAACTTCAGAATTTAGCTGAGGTTAGAATGATTGACCCCACGAAGATAAGTAATTTTGAAAGATGAACTCAGCAGTTGCACTTCATGCATTAACACACAACCACACAATAGGGTGGGTGGGACATAGTCAGAATTCTAAAAAGTAATATAGGTAGGTGGACAGCGAGAGAGATTGATTACTGAATCCTGGTTCATCGAATAATCTACACCCACCACATGCAACAGAGGTGAATCAACGCAAATACCAGATATATGGAAGATATTATTACCAGTCGAATCAAAGGATAATAAATAATGTTAAAATGTATTTCAATTCACATTATAACATTGTAACAAGTTGTTCATTTTACTATAAAAGCATCTTATTTCCCACCTTATTGACTAACAACACTCGTCTTATTTCCCGTCGTATTGTATTTTATTGATAACACTAATACTGTGGTGAGAGCTGGCTGCTAGCGAAAGTTGGCAGACAGTAATTGACGTCAATGTTTATATCCCCAATATTGGTGGTGAGAAAATGAGAACGAAGGCTTTGCGTAGGCGGATACAGTTGGCATATAGATGATCTGACACAGCCACAAAGAGATGCAAGGTTAACTTTCTGTGAGAAACAACCAATCAGAAGACTGCATTTTCTACTAACAATAATCTACAATAATGTACATTAAAATCTATAAATATGTGTTGATTTTCCTTAATAAACGATCTGTTGCCTGGCCCTTGTCTACTGTAGTTACAATACTATTTCCGAATCTACTTTGTCTTCCTTTCTGTTTCATACAAGTCTTATATTGATTTTATTCAAATGTCTCATCAATTTTTACTCATGTATATAAACGAAGCAAGAAAGTTATGTGAGTACCTTAATATGATTACGAACAGTAATAAACTGAGCTCGAAACGTTGTCATCAGTAAATATTACTTACTGTATAACACTATGTGATTTTATCAAAATAAAATTCTATCCATAATAGCTTTGCTTCACTTAGCGTAGAGATGACATTACACATCCGGTTGACAGATTACAGGTAGGCATTGATGAAAACAACAGTTGTCATCCAGTAACCAGTAAGCATATGTGCCCATTCTTTCATGTAAGTTTGTTTTAAAAAAATTATATTCTCTATGATATTCTTTGTTACTAAGTTAAGAATACAGAGTAAGTGATTTATTGTACTTTAAGATTCTACTCTCAACTTACATTTTTGTTTGATTATTTAAATTATGTTACTCCGTTTCTATGCCTCTTTATAACCCTTTACTATCACAAGACCTACCCTTTTTCAATAGTTATGTTTTGGTAAATGTGCAGGGATGTGGTACATCATGAAAAGCGTTTCTAACAGGCAGATGGCAAAAACGAGAAGCTGGAGAGGGAAGAAACTTCGTCCGTGTTGCCCACGGAACCAGGTTGTCCTTGTTCAATCTCACGTAACAACCACCATTTTCTGTGAATTCCTTATTTTTACTATTTTACTGTGAGTGTATAATTTGATGTGTTTTTCGATCCCACACGTCGAAGAATTTTCGGTATGAAAAAATTTCAGCTCATTTTATTACTGATATTGGGCTAGATGTGTACAGTCTACTGGAAACTTTCGCTTTTGCAGGTAAATCAATACCTCTGCCATGTGATAAGCTCTATGGACTTCTAATAGATCACTTCCGCGTTACTTCTTTTGAAACACGAAAGAGGGTATAGTTCAACAAACTTGCTCCTGCTTCTAACCAGAAGATTCGAAACTTTATTTTCCAGCTTCAGATACAAACTTCAAAGTGCAACTTTGGGGATCAGCTCCGTATTCAACTACGTGATCGTATAATTGATGGGGTCAGTAGAGTTGATTCAGATTCCTTTCTGTACCTTTCAAACTGCTAAGGATTTATGTATTACATATGAAGATGTCAACAGTGAATACCCAGCTCTTCCTACGTCGGTGTCTGATGTCATGCTGTTCAAAGTTGATAATGCAAGTGTCCATAAAAAGAAATCCAAACTGTCATCCACATTTAATATAATGCAGACAGAAAGCAAAACATTAAACCGTGTTTTTCATGTGGGAAGACTCATCTACGAAGCACTTGTCATTTTCGGGGTGCTAATTGCCATAAATGGGGTAAAATTGGGCACATTAAGTCTGTTTGCTGGAGTTCAAATACTTATGCTACTCAGAATTCTCAAGATTCTCCCGAATTTGTCTGGCAACTTTCCACAGCACTGAATCTCATCTGATGAGAACCTTCATTACAAGTTCAGGCAAGTCTCACTGTTTTATAATTGATACTAGGAGTACTGTAATTTCTAAGATTTACTATCGCTTTGTAAGCATGCCCAGGAAACCCTACTGGTAGTTCCATTACAGGTATTAATGGTCATAAACTAACTCTTATTGGTACTGCTAACATTGGTTTGAAATCAGACAGTGGTAGTTTTGTGAATATTCCCTTTCTTGTTAGTGAATACGGTCCATCCCTATTGGGATTAAAAGCCCTTAGATTGTTGAATGTCGAAATATCACTTTGCACTGAGTTGTTTGATGAGCCTTTGTTCAGAGAATTAGTTCTCCAATTTTCAAAGTGTGTAGGTGGCATGAAGATTCAGCCCATCCATCTTAAAATAGAGGGTGATCCTATCTTCCTACAGCGCCGATTAATTCCATATGGTTTGCGAGATGCAGTTAAGAAAGAGTTAGACAATTTGGTTGAACAGAGAATACTTATGCCAGTTGAATCTCGAATTGGGATACTCCCATTGTGACCCCACTAAAGGCTGGTGGAAAAACACCGAGAATTTGTGGTAACTACCGCCTTACATTTACTATTCGTCTATTACAGCAAAGTTGCACTACGCTAGAAACCGAAGACATTCTCTACAAGCTACATGGCTCAAAGTAGTTTTGCGAAATAGATCACAATGATGCTTATTTGCAGATTCCTCTGGACAAAGCTTCTAGCGCATTAACAACCATTAATACTCCATTTGGATTGTTCAAGTATAAGTTCTTGCCATTTGGTTTAAAGGTTTCACCTGCAATATATCAAAAAGTAATAAAATCAGATGGCAGATGGATTAGATGGTGTTTAGTTTCACCAAGACGACATTATAAGTCATGGTTTGAACATCGAATTGCATAATGAACGTCTTTTTAAAACTGCTCAGGCGTTTCTATGAGAAAAATATTCTCGTTAATCCATTGAAATGTCATTCTACTTTGTCGTCCGCATCATACTTAGGATACATAGTACACTCTGAGGATTTCAGACCTGATGTTGGTCGTTTGGCACCTCTAATTCAAGCACTATCGCCTAATAATATGTTGTCGTTGAGATCATGGATTGTTACTCTTCGGTTTTACTCCAGATTCATTCCCAATTTCACTCAACTGTTATCTCCACAGTATACAATTTAAGTGGGAACAACAACATGAGAATATCTTTCGAAGAACTTTGAAGTTTCTTAATAGACAAGCTTTCTTAAGACCTTTCTCACCGTAAGATAAGTCTGTTCTCACTACAGATGCTTCTCCTGTGAGTATAGCTGCAGTACTTGAGCAAAATAGACAACCTGTTATTTGTATTTCACGACGCCTAAGTAAGAGTGAACAAGGGTGCTTACAAACCCAGAAAGAGGATCTAGCAGTTGTATGGGCAATAAGACGCTTGCAAAAGTATCTCTTTGGTACTAAGTTTCACATAGTTACTGATCATCAGGCTTTGAAATTCATTTATAACCCAGAAAAATCTTTGAATAGATCATCTGCTGCTGTGGTTCAAAGATGAAATTTAGAACTAAGTGTATATGATTACACTATTGAACACAGATCGGCTAAGGATATACCTCATGCAGACTTTTTATCTCGTTATTCATTATTTGAAAATTCTCCTAATGACACCGATTGTTTGTTAGTCTAGCCATTACCCGGAGATAGAGTTCGACCTATACACGATACTCGGAAATATTACCGATGCATTATAAATGCAACAAAAAGAAGTTGGAAAATTCCATGTAAGCCATTTTCGGACTTTTATAAGTGAAGAGATGACATTTCAGTTCATCCTGAAGGATTTCTATGTCTGAATAACAAAATTATTATTCCTCCGACATTAAGATCTGCGATTTCGGATGATCTTCATTCTGCTCATCTGGGAGCTTATAAGATGAATTCATTAGCACGCCTAACGTGCTGGTGCCTGGAAATTAACGATCACATTGGCAAAAGATCGAAGAGCCGTTTGCATACAATGTCCTAATGAAAGTCATCGTGAAAACTATAGCCAGCATCTTGTGAGATTTGGCAGCGTATTCATGCGCATTACTTTGCTCCATTCTTAAATTCATACTATGCCTTAATTATTGTGGATTCTTATTCTAGATGGTCAGAAGTTATAATTACAGATAGCCCTAACGGGAAATTGACACACAGAGTTTTGAGGGAGATTTTTAGCCGAGAAGGAATTCCAGATGTCTTACTGATAATGGTACTCATTTCACTGAGAACAACTTCAATGATTAGCTTAAACACATAGGTTGTCATCATCTGTACACAGCACCACGTCATCCTCAGTCTAACGGGTTGGCAAAAAATATTTTACGGACATGAAAGAGTACCATAGCATCAATGAGTCCTAAGAATCTTGACGTGCTAGAGAGATGTGTAGGTTACTTCTTACTTCAATATCGCAATGTGGAACATGCAAGTACACATGAAAGTCTTGCTAAGCTATTCAAATCTCGAATTCTCCGAATGCATCTAATGTACATGTAAATTATCATAGAGGGATTGACTATAAACCCTCTTTTGGAATCATACTAAAAAAACAGGAAATCGAATGGTGAAGATATATCAGAAATCGAAGACCATTCAGTCCACAACAGACACGTGGACCAAGTGAGAATAAATGAAGTAAGTTGTTCCGATTATAATTTTAATGATTCCGCTACTAATCCTGATTTAGTAGATAATTCAGAAATAAATCCAGATGATTCCGGTGAATACAATAGCGCAGAATCAGTTAGAAGATCAGAGAGACTTGCAAGCAAACTGAGACCTCATTATAAATACGCAAGGAGACATTCGACATGTGGCAGATGTGGTGATTGACAATTTCTATTTCTGTATTGTTTAAATACTTACTGTTGTTTGTTAATATTTATTGTTGTTGTGTTGTTGTTTAATCTCCTGTGATTCGGTCATTGTGAAATACTATTACAAATAACTATTACACCAACCAATAACCTACTGTTCGACAAATATACAGAAGGCAGTGGAGATTGGATTGGGCATACACTGAGGAGAAATTTAAATGAATTCACACGGCAACCAGGACGTGGAGTGGGACCCGAATAGAAAGCGACGAGTTGGGTGTCCAAGGGTAACGTGGTTATCATGTAAGGAGGAAATGAAAGCTTACGGTTAATCGTAAAGTCTGCAGAGAACAGAGCGAAACAGAAATGTGTTGTTGAAGCTCTATATCCCACTGGATCCTAAAATTTACGGCAAAGTTAAACTATTATAGCCAAGGCCACAGTGATCTTGGCCAACCAATTAGATTTCGAATGCAAAAAATGTCGCAAAATCGTTGAAAAATGCACTAAAAAAATTGCAAATGTGATATTATACTCTATAGTTGTCGCTCACGTGTTGCAAGAATATCTCCCAGTCAATTCACAGATGATCTGTAGGAAAATCATACCATGCGCAATAGATGCATTCTACCAGGTGACTGTAGGTTATGGTACTTTGAGATCCATTAATATTTATGACACTATTCTCCAACCTACTTCTAACTCTAACCATAATCCTAACTTCAACCCTAAACCTTAATCTTAAAAGCCATAACCCTACCTAACAGTACATATTTGCAGATAAAGCACCTAGTAAATAAATACATTACTGTATCTATCCTCTCCAAGTTCAAAAAGGCAGGCATGATTTGATTTCTAATGACCTTTCATAACTTTCTCTGTACCTGAATGGTTCTTGAAGGTAAACTTTTGAAAGGCTTTGGTTGTGATACTTTAACTTCGCCAAAATTTACTTTTCAGTTATTGAAAATAAAGGAAGATGGTTCATGATTACATAGGTCGGATGAATCATTCACGTTTCATAATCTACAAAGACTGGATAAGAAAGGTATAATTTATCACTCCGATATAAAGTTGTGTCAAAGCGATAGGTATCAGAACTGATACTACTAAAACCCCCAAATTGGAATATAAAATAAAGATCATATCATGATCCAAACAACAATAATATCTAAAGAAACCATTGGCTTAATACAATTAATTACACTATGTGGAGTTGCGTTTCCTGTGTGGGAGACGACAGCACCCTCTAATCACTCACTGAAGTTACGAATATCCTGAGTTATTCCCACATATAACTGAGTGAATATTACAACGACTGAAGTTTTAAAGCATAACTTATGTCATAGATTCTTAGGAAGGTTTTTTTCAATGTTTACAATTACCGAAAATACCCATTGAGTCATAAAGAAAATAAAAGACAGATTCAGCGAAGAAAATTTTCTTTATCGACGAAATCATCTTCAGAGGCTGTACTATATTTTTGTAAGTATAAATACGATTGTACAGCTTCTGAAGATGATTTCGTCGATAAAGAAAATTTTCTTCACTGAATCTGTCTTTTATTTTCTTCATGTTTACAATTACGCCAGAATTTCTAAAATTCCTTAACAAATTATTTATCAGTTGCTGTTAAGTGTAACTTGGTCACTCTTTGTAAAATAATACCCAGTCTAGCCAAACTGTTCAAATTTTTCGTTATCTGTTAACATCTTTTGGCTATAATAAACTCTAAAGCACTGCTATACAGTAGGCTACTTCATGAAATTAGTAAGCAACATTCAGATATCACAGAGATTTGAAAAACAATGGTTGTTTAGAAGATTTAATGAATCACTTTCAAGTAGTCTTCGATGGCAGTATTTACCCCCATACATTCTATATGTCATGATGTATAGTTTATTTACATAGTACGAGTGTCAGCGGCAATGCAATGCATCTGCGCCAGTGAGCCATATTACCGACAGCCTTCAGGACTCCAGCTAGGCAGTCTACAAATCGATCAACATTTAGTTAGCATTGAGAGAGGTGAAAAATTACCTTTTGTAATAATTAATCTACCATTTTACAAGAGAACCATTACACTTGGTAAACTAATCTCTTTATGTGAATATTAACTTTAATCTCTAGCTAACTGCATTTACTGACGAACAGCATATATTCTCTAATACTATTTTCGCCTAGTTTAGCAGATACGATCGAGATTTACTATTATCTTGAATAAAATGAATCTTATACCCCAAAACATACATATATTGTTTTCTTTGTACAGAAATTACATAAATGATTAACTCCATGTTAAAGTAGTCTTGATATCTGCTGAGTGAAATAATTCTCTTCCAAGAGCATATAAATATGAAGGAGCATGAGTGCCAAGATTTGTTAAAAATAAACTGACAAGACCAGAAGGTATAATTTCCCATTTCGGCACCCAGACAACTGGACCCTCACTTGGCTGATGATATACTAGGCCTTCATTGGCTAGTTCAGGGTCATTTGGTGGAAGAATAAGCGATGGACTATCAAGCCAATCGACTGAACGATCACTGGGATTGGCAGTAGGTTGTACAGAGAATGACGGTGTTGATCGAGATGATAGTTTGAATGGTATAGGAGAAAGTTTGTAGTGCGGTAAACACACATATATCTGAAAGAAAGTAAATACAAGTTTCATTTTATTCAACAGCAAGAGACTAAAAATCACATATGCTTTCAACATGAACTTTGGTAATAGCAAACATCGCATTAAGGTAAAACAGACATGTAATAACTCAACTTGAAATTATGCATCCATGTGATGCGGCTTCAGTTTGATTTGGATTTCAAATTCGTGAATTTCTATCTTCAAATATAATTAGTGCAAATACTTTAGAGAACGATGACAGCATCGATGACCGAAATGCTCAAAGGCAACTTTACACGGATAAGAGTAGTCACCAACTGTTTGAAAAGTGGCAGGTAATGCTATCTGGCTATTAGTGGCGTTGACTGATTACTTAAACTTGAATGTATGACACGCTGGTTGAAAGTAATGTGCCTAATTCACTGAATAACGGCTGCCTACATAGTCAAGCTTAGCAGAACTTCATGAATTTCAACCAATTCCTTGGTTGGTAGCGTTTTGTCTGTCTTATTACTGTAACTAATAAGGAATTTCAATGGTCAATGGATAATTACATATAACACAGCCCAGACAAATGAATAACATCATCAGATTTACCTTAAACGTAATGCTATACTTATAATATCAATACTCTCTAGTTAACGGTTCGCCTACCGGTAATGAGTGGACTACAACAGTGCCAAAAGCTATTTTAAATGACCCTAAGACTTCATAGAACCACCAGTCTAATTGAGAGTAAAATCTACACAACCAGAATTCTGTGAAAAAGTTTCTGGTTTTAAAATAGATAATACAGGTGTAGGAATTATGATATCTAGAAACATTCAGTCACTGTAACCATTTCAGTAAACCTTTAATGAGTGCTTCGTGTGAGGAATGCATAAATCAGTTGTAATTTAGAAGGAAAATCAAGTCATAAGCTGAAGTGATTTTTAAATATGTCATAGATTTTGAGTCACCGTTTATCCACACACTGTTCAGTAGAAATACTTCAGAAGTAAGGCATATTGCGCTGAAGATGTCCAGAAGGACGACGAAAGCTCCACAACCAAACCAACCAGCTCAGATAACACTATTAATTGTAAGGCATAACAGTCAAGTGAGTTTCTGACCGGAATGAATGACTTCTAGTTGATGAAAATCGACTGTCATACTACACAGCAAAGAACAAGATAAATGACAGACATTGAATCTCGTTATTCCACGGTCTGAATTTTGAAAATCGTACACACTTGTATTCCTTAATTTCTACTACAATTACTACTTTTATTTTGTAACCTTTCATAGTTGCTTACTTACTTTGCCTTATCCTTCCTGTTAACTTCTTAAAAATTAAGCGACTTTGACTGTCCTATCATTTATGCACATCTATCTCAAAGGGAATTCGATAACTTGCAAATAATACGTAGGACATGTAAAAAAAAGAGTTGCTGGTACTCGCAAAGGAACTTTATCACAGTCAACAATCAGACTAAGTTAACCGAATTGCCAAGGTTTGTAACATGGTCTACGCATTCAGCAATGCTATTTTACTAAAAATGAAAGTAATTAAATCATTAAAAACTTTCATACAGGTTGTGTGAATTACCTGTTAGATGGAATTACTTAAAAGGCAATCTATTTTCATACACATGCATTTTTTTCAGGAGGTTAATTTGATACGATAGTTCAACTTGCATTTCTTAGGTCTCCATGTAGGAGACCATCCATTGGAAAAACAAAGACGGAATGTCTAGTTTCCATCTTTGCGAAAATTTGTTGACTAACTTTGCCACACCTGGAAACACCAAATAACTACAAGTGTTAAGGTAGGGAATAAGATAATTTCGGCATACACTATGTGAACTGTTAGGAAATAATGAATTATTTGATATAACGAAATATGAAAATACACTTTTAAACATTTTAAGTAGTAACTCTTGATAATCCAAAAATTTTATGAATAATGAAGATATAAAAGTGTCTAAATTACCGGGATGGAAAAGCTTTTAGCAGCAAGCATGGCACCATATGTTCCAACTGTTGCTTTCAATGTCCCATCAGGATAAACAGCCTGGCAGCTTACGATCACCTAAGAAATTAAATCACTGCACAAATATTACTTTATTTATTCGCGACATTAAACCGTACACGTGACTATCAGGAACTAAAATAACATCCACATTATCCTTTGACAGTTCGTCAGCTAATTTATGTCCCTTTTAACAATTAAGACAAATCAAATAATTACTAAGTTGTCAGGATAACATTCACATATAATAACTTTGAAGTTTCTGCCTTTTTTCGCCGCATGCTAAAGAATAATTTTAACTATGTCAAACATACACGTAGAAAATGGTACACTGCTTTGGAATACCCTGATGTCATTATTAGTTCATCGGAGTGGATGAAATCTAAGGACAAGTCTGCTAGACTTGTCAAAGAAGACTTTATATCAACAACCAAATCATCCAATGTGTTAAGGATAGCTTCTAAAATGTCATCTCGAGAAACTGCTTCGTAAGCTTCATCCCCAACTGCAAAAAGACGATTCTACAAAAGTTTAGACTTAATATGAACGAACCGTTAAATTTTCTTCGAAATCAGCATTTTCTCCCATTTGGAATCTACAGAATTTTGATATGGTAACCGTGGGAACGCATACTTGAGTGCCTCTTCACGAATGACTTTTAAAACTCTTAAAGTCGTACTAAGAATCACCGTATTGTCATTGGAATTTTTACACAGATTTTTCAGTTTCTCTGTAATTAAACCTATAAGGCTTCTACAACTGTGAAACAAATGAAGCAGTTACTTTAAGTCACACCATTCCTCTGACTCCACAATATGTTTCAGGGTGTTCAGTATTGAAAGTGATGTTTTAACAGATGAATTTCTAAAACAAATTACAAAAATCAATAATGATTTACCGGGGAATTGGTGGTTGAAGCATCGTACAGTTGAGGTTTTACTTGGCAGTTAATAATTCTATCTCAAGAAGAAACAACCATGCAAAATTGCAATCTATAAGCAAAATATACATTTGAATTGAAACTAAGTAAGCGCTGTGAGATAAAAAATAATACACGGTTTACTTTTCAATAACCCCAATGTCATGTTCATTTTGCGCTAAATAAGTTACTATGAAAGAAATACTACTGCGTGTGGTAGAGCTAAGAAAGCAATAAAGGGACCAAAAATAATAATTCAGATACACAATGTTGACAGATGGTCTCTTGATCGCTTTGATTCTGGATATGTGGCTACTAAAGTGGATACGAATTGAACACAGCTAAAACCATATAGTTATTTACTAAAGCTGATGTGGTGTGGTGGTATGATACAGACAATGTTTCAACTGAATATGATTCTCACATACTCCCACAGTTCAATACTGCGTTAGTAACAGAATGTTATGTATATTTGAACATTCTATTTCATGTCGCTTAATGTAAACCAAAATCACACGCTCAGTGATTGGTTGACGAACATAAACTATATATATATATATATGAAAAATATACCTTGGTTTCCGTATCTTGCCTTCTGTTGTTACAGAGGTATTTGCACACAGGTATTTACCACCCTTCAGCAAAACAATCTATATATCTCCAGATGAAGAACTGAAACCACTCTACATTATTCTTCTTAAGGTGTTCATTTTACCCTTTTATGAAATGTTCCTGTTCGTCAATTCTGAAGGCTTAAAAGAAATATTCGAATCTCTGAATATAGGTGGCTGAAATTAATAGACTATCAGTCTGTATGGGCTGAATGACGCATAATATCTAGTTACTATTCGAAGCCTCATCAATCTGAAGTATGTGTAAGTCATAAAATCTGTGGTTATTTTCTAGGTATCAACATATAAGTGTATGATCATCTGACTACCGTTAAAATCTTGTCACTGAAAAATTTTGCGAACTCTCTTTTGAAAAGTTCTTAGATTTATTCTCAAGCGCATTGGTAATAAGTGTTATTTCTCATGAACGAGTTATTCATTTGATGTATTACAGCTGTATGACTAACAAGCATTCATATTCATCCCAAAAGTCAACGACATATATGTAGTCAAGCATATGGTGGCTTTTAAGACGAACAAGTTTTTTGGAAAATAAGTCTTCATGATCAGAGCAGAACAGTCTCAAAAGTTTACCAAACCCTAGCGTACCACTCCCTGAATGTCTCTAAGTATTACAGCAGTCACAGATAACACAAAGTTGGTTTGTTGAAATTCAATGTGACCTGCATTATTTCATTATGAATTTCTAATCCATAATGGATTGTCGAATTATTTAACAGTGTGGGTGTTACTTCACTTCGACTGCAAAAGTGCGGCGTTGAGTCGATGAACAAAGCTTCAGTGATTAACCTCTCTCACCATGTCCCACCCTATTTTATAATTCCATACAAGTGAATGCAATGCAATGACTGCGTTTTTTCCCAGGCTACTTAACTTAGCAGGGTCAGTCATTCTAGGTTTAACCTAATCTTAATGTTCCAATAATTTAGGTGACCCCTACCTACTAGATTCATTCATGTAATTGACCTCACGGTCATTACATGGTATTTGGTATAGTATATTATTTTTCTTAATCGGATCCATGAGTCCTTAAGCTGACAAAGTTTACCTCTGAGAGAGATGGCTGGTTTACATGACACCCTAATTCCAGTTTCATTGAGAATTCTATGTAAGTCCTCTGATGTCCCTTCCCTATATCGCAGTACTGAAGACAGTTTGGATTCTATATTACTTTTGTTATTTTTATTACTAGTCCTATTTCTTTTATGGTCCTTTACATATTTCCGAATAAATTCTAGTAGCCAACAATTCATTGGTAGTATTTCTTTTATCTGTTTGACTTCATTAATTAAATCTTTTGGCTTACTAGTTATGCTCTTGGCCAGATTATATTGAAATTAAACTAAACCAATCTTTATCAATTCTTCATGGGATGAATGAAAGTACAAGCATGTAATAGTGTGCTGGTTACCTATATAAATGCTAGTATCTTAACCGTCTTGTTTTCGTTTTAATTTAGTCTAGAATGGCCAACTCACCCTGTTCATTTCCTCATTCAGAATTGAATTGGATTCCGTTTACTACTGAGTTTATATGTATGAAAGAGGAGATACCTCTACCTAGGAGCAGGATTAAACACTCTAAGAGCTTTATGTACAATATATTCTGAAAGTCAAATAGAAAACTGTGAACTGAAAACAATAAAAACAGCAACCAGTTCAATGGTTGTAAAAACGACTGAATAAGGCAATCTACATATGGACATCATATATCCAGTTTCTCTGATAATTCGAAAGTCCTTTGAATACAATGTTTTTGAGGCTGCCTACGAAATAAACTGAGTGCCTACTCCTATATTAACTTTGAGTAAGGTGACAAACACTACACACTCGATAACAATTCACAATGGTCAGTACCTGGAAGGCGGAATAACCTTGAAAATATAAATGCCACCCTGCTAAATTAGACATTCAATTTCCAATTTTATTTTCCGGCTTCATGGATTATTTCTCTTTATCATGCAGAAATAGTAAGCTCCATGTTTCTCTTTTGACAATTTTTGTGCTTTGTGCCTCTAGGCGATAGTGTAAATCTACAGTACGTTTTTAAAATCGTAGCGTCAAACTGACTGAGGTTAACTCCGAACTGAATGACATTCGTTTGGTCGAATATAATGAAATAACAATAGTGGTGATAAAACTAGTCGAATGATGAACGAAATGAATGAGTCAGTTGATAATAACAGGAAAATGAAGTCTTTGGGGACCTTAGGAATATTAGCGGAAAGGAAAGTGGTACATTCAGTGAATAAAGTTTACTTGATAGTTGCGATTGGCATTAAAATATGTGCGCAGTTCGTGGAGGCTGAGTCATGCCAACACAGTCCGTATTGTTGAATAATTATTCAATCACAATAAGAAGAATTCTATTAATGTTATGGCAATCCAAAAGCTATAAACTCAAAGAAACGAGAAGTGAGATTGTGCTCCGCTATACTCCATTCTTGCTGGATCGTTACGAATATACGAACAGTGGCACGTTGGCCTGATGATCTTTTACAGTTGATCTTGACTACACGTATACTATGAGCAGTTTTCAGCCCACTCCCTGATCAAATTGAACTAAATATGTGTAGGCATGTTTTTAGCAGACTCTGGGACTCTAACATTTTTTACTATAATAATAATAATGTATTTCATATAAATTTACAAATTTACATGAAAATGCATGCCATTTTTACAGGCACGATCAAGTATGATATAATATCAAATCGTAGATTGTCTACAAGTTAATCGTATTTCAACTGTAAAATATTCGATACATATAATACACTCATTTTCTGAATTAGGCCGTACTGAAGTAATCAATAATAATAATAATTTATGTTTCGTATAAACAGGTAAGTTTACAAGAAATGCATGCTATTTTTACAGGCATGGTCAGTAATGTTATGAATTACAATCCTGAAGTATCAAAAACTAATACTTTTTCAAAAGTTTGAATTGTTCAATTATTCTACAAGCAATCAGAACAGGTTCGTATAAATGATAAATTTTCAACTGTTTACTAAAGTCACCATCAAAGTTGACCGACAACCCAAACTTCGTTCCGTTTCCTGCTGATCGTTATGATCAACTAGCGAACAGCGTATATCTGGATGAGTGCTGTGCCGCCACGTGATTGAACGCTATTTCAGGAAGAGGAGAAAATTCCGCGCAGCTGCAAAATGGTATAAAATGCGATTATGATTAATACATTATTGGAAGTATATTTACAAGACAAATACAAGGAGAAGAAGCTATATAGTGCTTGAAATGATAGTTTACATCTCCAATGTTTAATGCTAACCATATTGGTCTAAGCATGGAAACTATCACGTTTCCGATGAAAGTATAGCTTTGTTCAAACATTCGTGTTGTTGTGTTTTTAATCAAACAGACTTAAGCAACCATACTTAAAGCAAGCAACAAATATGAATAAAGAGCAAGTTTCGGCTTCAATAAAGGCCTAGGTAGTTAAGATCAGATAGAGTATAATACTGCGTAAATAAAAAGATTATTGTGAGGTAGGTAAGTGATATATAAGTGAGGAGTGAATTCAAAGATCTGGAAAATTAGAAGCCGTAGGACAAGCTGACCTGTAAGATGTTTCACGAATTTCTGTAGGGCCCAACGAGTAGCATCTTGACAAGAAGCTGAAGAGGCTTGTAGATGGTAGGAGCAAAAGCACTTTTTATTGATAATTAGATCTGTAAAACCCTTATTATTTTTTGTTGAGGGTCCAGACTAATGTTTAATTCTCGAGCTGTCAAAAAATGCATGTTGCTGTCCTACACATTGGAGCGATTCACAATTGTGATCACTACCATATCTGCTGATCAGCGTGCGCCACCCTCCCTCCTTTTTTGATGTTAAGCTCTGAGATTTTTTTGCAAACTGTAGTTGTAGTATTGAATTGCTTTAAGCCCGTCCCAATCATACAGTATGCTGCACATTAATAGCTTTCATGACAAGCGCTTCCCATTAGGTCACCAGATACATCGACACCTGGGGATATTCTTAGCAGTATCACCTTTATACATGCGTACATGTATACGAGCCTAGTAAATGTATAAATGCAATAAATGTACTGAGATTAAGTCATCTTTATTTTAGAAAATATAATCAGTTCGTTTGATAATTTGACACACGAATAAAGTGATAAATTTCGAGCTATGGTACCTGATGTAAAGAACAGGTTAATAGTTGATGCAGTCAACAAACACGGTTACAGAAAACTGCTCCAGCAGTACACAGTATACATCGGAGTTAGCATTCCTCCCTTCACACAGATACAGGGATACTCTCAGAAAAGCTTCCTGGAGCTAATCATCAGATATGAGGACCTACCTGACGCTTCGCTTACGCTCATAATCATAAGCTTTGGGATTAAATATAGTCATATCGAGTGTTGACTGAAAACCTCGAAATGTGGCTTCTCTAGATATGCGATAGAGCCCAAGCAGACTGTTTTAGGTCACTCATCTCTGATGGCAATTTCCGAATCATGCATTTCCAGTGAACTCAGTAGCTGCATTTTTTGATGAAACTTGGTCTTTCTGCGTTTGGTACGAAACTGGTCCGAAAATATCCAACATCGATGTAGAAACCACATGATCCATGTGTTATAACTGCTTGCAAAAATGAACCGATCACTTATAATGCACTGTAATTTACTTGCTCATAATATTCTTAACCAATCAGACGAAGTACTTGTCCAAGTTTGTAGAGATACAGTGGAATTATTCACACTTAGAAGACATGGTGTTAATCAACCTGCATGGTATAATGACATATAATACTAGCCTTCGCAGCACCAAGAAGAATTTCGGACATTGTGGAGGGGCAGTAAAATCTGACCGTTTCACTTTCAACAGG